CAACACATTCTTGTGAACTTCACTAAGGCTGCGTTCTTTTACACTTAACTTAAATTTAACTTACTTTTTCTTCCCTTTTGGAACTTAATTAAAGTTTAAGAATGAGAAATAAGTTAAGTTAGAAGAATTGACTGAATTTAAAAAATAATTTAAATTTAAGTTAAGTGTAAAAAAACACAACCTGATAATTAATTGTATGAAATATTGTGTGACACCACATGGATATGTACCCCCCATGAGGACTATTGAATAATTGCTCCAGTACTATAATCCAAAACCCATATAAAGAGATTGAGTAGAAGTTCCAATTAAAAGCCAGTAAAACAATTAATAATGGGAAGATCGAAGAATTAAACAAGGGGAAATCCCTATAGTATACTGGAGTATAATTTAATTATGAAGTCATGGCAGCTGGGAGGAGCTGGGGTTTTTTTTTATCCGAGGAGCTGGGGTTTGATGAGCCAGTTTTTGACAGGTTGCTTATCCCATACTGAGGAGTACTCCTCCTATTAATTCCCTGATTCAAATTTAATGGGCCTGTGCATGGGTGGGGGGACCAGCGAAACTTCTTTTCGCAGCTCTTTCAGATTAATGATGTGTTTTAATGAAGATAATTATGGACTGGGACTGGACTGGACTGGATCAATTAAAAGCCACACTTTGGTTTTCAAAAAAACGTAGCTAGTGGTATCTGGACACGGAGGATCCCCTGTCCGAGTGAAATCCAGACAGGGGTCTGTTCCAGTGCTTGGAGCCGTTGATCTCGCAAATCAACGGTTGAGATCTGTCGAGCCAAAGCGACGTCGTTTTGGACAAAAAAGTGTTCGGCAGATCTCAGTCGTTGATTTGCGAGATCAACGGCTCCGAGCACTGGGACAAGCCCCTGTCCGGATTTCACTCGGACAGGGGATCTGGTCTCGTATCTGGAACCCCCTAGCCTAGCTAGTAGCTACCACTACTCCTATCCTATCCTATGCATGATTAATGGGGTACCACCTCTCTCTAAACTAGGGTTTCGGTTGATATTGGGGGTCAAAAGTTTGCATTTTTATGTTAGCTGTGCGGCTCTTGATTTATCGAGGGGAAAGGGAAAAAAATATTTAAAACCGAAAAGAATTATTGAAGTGAAAGAAGCTATATATAGCTAAAATAGCAAAAAGGTTGTCGAAAGAATTATTATGTTTGATAGGTAAAGCGAAAAAAGTAAGATACCCTCTCCAGTTTAGAAAGCTAACGAACAGTTATGACATTTCCGGACCTGTCCGAAACGAATTTTTATGATTGGAAACTTTCATTATATATGTGGGAATATTTTCTTAGGAAAAATCACGCTACAAATGAATACATATGAGTTGTTACTTTTTGTATATATGCTTCTTCACCTTATAAAAAGTAGTAGTAACTGCAGTTTCTTTTGATTTGGGCCATGACATGACCTTTTCTATATGAGTATTCATGAGAAAGTTGTAGTATATAATATAGGGCTGTGACTGTGAGTTCAGAAAATAATTAAAGTACTCCTACTAGAAACGTATGAGAAGAGCTTTAAATCAATTGGCCGGCTTGGTCTTACATATAATCATCAGCATGCATATATCATCTATCTCTGCTGGCCCCTTAGTCCCTCTCTTCTTTTGGATCTAGCTATATCCGGATATTCAGGTCAGTTTACACGTATTTCGACTAATTAATTTTAGAGTTCTGAAATAAACAATTGGGCAAACATCTCGTGACTCCAAAGTTTGAATTGTTGACATTTGTGGAATTCAAACTTTCGGCCTAGTCTCATGGAAGACAAACTCTTTAAGGCTCCGCTCCGGAAACCTTTTTAAAAAATAAGTACTTATTTTGCAACTTCTTATTCGAAAATAATAAGGGTCATTCAACAAAATTCAAATACAAAGTTTACTTCACATTTTTAAACTAAAAAATAATGTAAATGAAAAAACAAAAACAAAAACAAAATCGCACCGTATTAAAGATCTCAATGAGATCTATCAAATAAGATCCATAGTGATAAGAAAATTATTTGCGTAAACACATGATTTTTGAGCTTGAAGTTGCCGTATACAAAAAATAAGACTGTTGCTATGAGAATGGGCGCCGGCGGAGGGAAATCGTACTGACGGCCGCGCCGGGCAGTCTCCGGCCACCGGACGGCCGATCCGAGCCGTCCAAAAATTCTATAAAAAAAAAACCAAGGGGGCCCGCGCCGGAATCAACGGCATCCGAGGTGTGTAGGGTGCTTGATCCGAGCACCCCTTTTTCGTGTATATATGATAAGGGGTGCTCGGATCAAGCACCCTACACACCTCGGATGCCGTTGATTCCCGCGCAGGAATATCATATATACACGGAAAGGGGTGCTCGGATCAAGCACCCTACACACCTCGGATACCGTTGATTCCCGCGAAGGCCCCCTTGGTTTTTTTTTTGTAGAATTTTTGGACGACTCGGATCGGCCGTCCGGTGGCCGGAGACGGCCCGGCGCGGCTGCCAGTACGATTTCCCTCCCCGGCCGGTCGGTACCTATACAAATTCTTCCAAAATAAGTACCAGCCTTCTTATTTTCCGGAACAAGCCTTCTTATTCAACAAAAAACAAGTTCTTATTTCAGTTCTGGAATACAGCCTAATTGTTTTCTCATATTCATTAGCCAAATTCCTTGGGGTTCTCACAGTTCCTTTCGATCGACATGTTTAGGTTTTCGTTTCTCTTTTATTTAGTCCAATTTTTAACCACGAAATGATTTCTCTTTTTTGAGATAAATTAAATACGAAGAATCTTTCTTTCAATCTTTCTGCAACGGCTTCTGTCTTCAGTCAGCGGTGGGACGAGTTCGAGTTCGACGGGTCCGACGGGTCCGGCTCCGGCGTCGTGGTTCCATGCGGCTTTTTTCCTGTTTATTTTCTTCTGCTTTTGTTTTTATTTTGTTTTGTTTTGTTTTTTCTTGTATTTCCGGACCGGTAGTGTCCATTTTTGTATTGTGTTTTCTTTTCTTTAATATATCTGCATTGATCTTGTTCGTCAAAAATCCCATGATCACTCTCTCTCTCTCTTCTTTTGTCTCCAACCTTCCTTTTTAAGTACTGATGTTTTCTTCTCCTTAATCTTTCACAAATCCAAAGACTTCCATTTTTTATTTGTTAATTCCCATCACGTTTCTCTTTACAAAAGAACTTCTCAAAACTTTCTACGTTGACTTTCAAAAATTAACAAGATTGGGACCTTTATATCGAGTTTTTCCATACAAATACACACAATGGCTAATTTTAAAATTCTGTCAAAATGATTAAATCACAGGTATTATGAAGAACAATATTTTTAACGAGGTTTTCTATAATTGTTTATTCGTGCATCGAACGAGAGGCGTAACAAAAAAACCACTGATGGCATAACAAAATCACAAAATGGTGCCGTAACATTTTCAAACCACCAAATGGCATAACATTTACCAAAGAAGGCATAATATTTCACCGTATGATGCATAATGGCATACCATTTTTTATGTTTTTAAACAAAAGAAGTTACCGAGTTCCTAAGTTGCCAAAAACGATGGAAGGAAAAGGAATGGCTTTGTTAATTTGGAAGCCTTATTTATTTGTTCAAGAGTAAAAGGGATTATTTTATTTTTTAAGTTTGGAGGGAGGGCCTTCCGGACTACCTCTGCCCCTGCTTAACATGTTACAATTGTGGATACTTTAGCATTTTCAAACAATTAATGATATTAGCAACTTCTAAAAGATAGTAGGTCTGATGACTCAATAGTAATCATAGCTGATTAATTAACCAAATCCTTCCTAATACGGTATACCCTAACTAACCAAATCAAATAGTACTTAAACTAACATTAAGGGTTATTGGACTAAAATAACTATTTGAAAAGTAGTTGGTAGTACTCGTACTGTTCAGTGACTTTTTAAAAAAAATTTTGTCAAAGTTTATGGGATTCATCATAATTCTCGATTCTCGATGAGAAGAATCTAAAATGTATAAAAATGTAAATCGAAGTTGAAAAAATTTTAATCAAGACAAACAAAAAGATGGTAAACTGTCCTTTTTTGAAAAAAATCCCTTTTGATTTTTTTTTTACTTTTTGTCATAAAACATGAAATTTTATATTGTGTTTGTAAAAACCACTAATTAATGTAGTATAAAATTATTTTGAATTAATCAAGAAATTTAGAAAATGAAAATAAAAATAAAAATAAAAAGACACTTATAGAAATTTAGGCCAAACTCACCTTAAATTAAGAAGAATTCGGGTTCAGTACCTAAAGTAAAAGAAAACTTTATAAATACATCCTCTCTCCAAAAAAAAAATAAAGAAAGAAAATTACATTAGTAATTTTTGCCAAATTCAAAATCAAAGAAAAAATTCTATTAAGAATCAATTAACGCAAAAGACTCTGGAAATCTAAAAAAATATTAAATTTACAAAAATTTATGAAGTCAAAGCACTAGTGAATTATTACAAAGCAATGACTTATATACCAAATATATAATTTGTAAGCTAATTTACCCAAAAAAATTGTAAACAATTAATTTGAAAATACTAGCTTTTTTGCACAGATTAATTTGAAAATAGCTATTATACTAAAAAAAATTGATATTTAAATCATTAAATATGATGAGTAATCAAGGCTGATTTATTTTTATCGAAATTGATAAGTTTTGAGCAAAATTAGTAGAAAAATAAGAGATTTCAATTAATTAATACACAATACACAACATAAGTCAACAATCACACAAGATAGGGGTAATATAATATGTAATTAAGCTGAGTTACCTTAATTAATTGTTTTTATAAAAAAAAATATCATATCCCAGTTTTATGACAATGTCTTATTTTCTGTGACCTATACAAGTTTTTTCTTTTTGTTAACCGAGGAACAACCCTATAGCCAGGCCACTAAATGGATCAGACTACGCAACCCAAACCTCGAGAAGAGCTAACTATAGCACACTAGCCGCGGCCCCCCACTTAAATACCAGGATACTCATCCGGTGGGGAATCGAACCCCAAACCAAGGAGATTACTCTCTAAGTCTGGCACTTGCCCTTACCACTGGGACAACCCCTGGGTGTGTGACCTATACAAGTTTCTATTCTACCTCGTTGAATTGCCTTTCAACGGTTAAAACACAAGTAATATCATCTCTTAATATTATAACGTACGTACGTCGTTGAGAAATAGAGTAGAATATATATATACACACACTCCAATAAGCAACAAAAGCTTAATAATATTGTTGCGTTTGCTTCCCATAATGGAATTTAATAGACATTTTTAGAATTCGTTAGCAACTTTAGATAATGTCTTAGTAAGCATTAATCGTGATTAAATTAAATTAAATCGCATCATAGCTAATTATGATCAGTCACGCAATGCTTACGTGCATATGATGTCAGCTGTAATAGGAGGAAATCTTGTAAATACTCGCCTCTATGCTCCCCACGTAGTTTGAACAGATTTTGATTCTACGGGTAAAATAATATTTTATTTTTTTTTGAGAATTAATTGACCAAGTTTTGATTCTTGAGGTCGGACGTGGATGAATTGTCTTTGATTTGACTAGAGAGGAGATTAGTCGATGTGCGCGTAAATTGGACCGGACACCCTGCCTATAAAACCGAAAAGAAAAACGATATAGTATAATATGTGCAAGCCAAAAGCTAGCCTAATCTAGTGCTTTAGATATAGTATCACGCTACTATTTAACATGATGCAGTTAAGAGTTGCTTCCACTTTAGCTATTTTCCCATCTTTTTCTTTCTCTAACCGAAAAGATACTACTCCAGTTACTCCAGTATTAATGATTGTGATCATTGACCATGATGCTCAATGGGGTGGAACTAGTAATTTTATTTTTACAAAATAGATCAATATCCCATTTCAATAACAAATTAACCATTAGCAATATTACACAAGGCCGCCCTTGCAAGTTTGTGGGCTGCCTTAAACCACATTAATTCTACCAACATTAACAACTTGATGAATAACTATAAAGTCGTTATACAAACTACGAAAATCATATAGCACAGGTTGGAGAGGAGGATGCGCTTTTTCAAGCCACCTGCATCCATTAACAAAGGCAAGGCAATCAGTCTAATTCACAGGGCTGGCTCCGCGGTAAGCCATGCAAGCTCTCGGATTTGGGCAACCTTCGGGCTGGGGCATTCAAAAAAAAAAATGTAAGTTAGAAGCTTCCCATATTTGGCACAAGGCATCTGCTTGGTGTATGGCCAACGCATGTTGATAAAGTGTCCAGTGACCTAGGTTCGATTCTGTGGTGCGTCTGGCGCCTCAGTCCTTCTTTTCCTTTATTTTTCCTTTTTTTGTTTTACTTCTTTTTGTTTTCCTCTCAATTCACTATATATTTTTCCATTTTTGTTCTAGCTCTTTTTGTTTTCCTCCCAACCCATAATATTACGAAAACCAAAATACTAAATTATTTTGTTGAAAATTTTTGACTTAACAAACACAATAGTGGAGTAATGTATAAGTGGAGTATGTTCTTACATTTGATTAAAAGAAGTCATAGTTAAATAAAATTAAACGAGCTAACACAATTTTTGTTTTTACCTTCGAACTACCATTTCACAATAGAGATTAAATAGATTACCAATGATCTCAATTGAAAATGAAGCCAAGTCTTTCTTGTCAGTTGTCACATATAACAACTAAAAAGCTAGCATAAAAAGCCAAATAACCAAAACTTAGCGAAACGGACCCCGAGTTCTTGGATAAGTAAAATACGATGACCCAATTGACAAATTTGCTTTAAAAAATGCAAGGAGAAGTTATTTTATTTGAATCGGATCGTGCTAAATAAAGCACTATAACCGGGGTTACATTTTGGTATTGATTTTTTTGATATTATTCAAGCTAAAGGAACAACATGTAACTTTGATGTTTTTTTTTTTTTGGTATGAGTTAATAGTAAGTGGACAACAAAGCATGAGGTGCATCCCAATATAGCAAAAACTTATTGGATCTGTTTATAGATATACCATACATGTGGTGCTATTGGAATTTTTTTTTCCTCGGCAACAAAAATTTATTGTTGTTGAGTACAAAAAATTAAAATTGTTATTTTTTAGCTTCAAAACATACCATAAGCGAGAATCTTGTAAAACATAGTGTTTATCTTCAAGAAGTAATATATATAAATGTGATCTTTGTAAACTGCTCTTAAAAGAAAAAGCAGAAGAGAAGCAAACAAGGGAAGTTAATATAAAGGACAATGTGTGCATAGCATGTAGTAATTAGGAAAGCTTAGGCTTTAATTCTAATGGGACTCCATAACTTAATTTCATTGATAATGGCCAATCCACTTAAAAGACCACTGCTCCAAAGTCCATCCATTATTAGGTTGTTTGCCCCATTTTGGATAGGAAAATATTGTAGGTGTAAGCTAATTAATAAAGTAGGAAAGGGTCAATCATATAAGCAAATTCCATGTAGGGGAATACAAGGAAATATATAGAGTGAGGTTCCACCAAGAAGAATATATATAGCCTTTATGAAGAAAAACAATAGGTAAGGGACTTGAAATGATGGTATGGTAAGAAAGGGCATGTAATCAATTTTTTGTTCTATTTCAACCAAGAATTCATACATAATTACACTATTGCATATATTTTTTCTGATTTTTTAATTAACTGCTATAATTAATGCAGATAGTAGGGTAGTCTGAATGATACTTAATTTGTTGACAGTTTTTTGTCACGCAATCTTGGTCAAGAGATTTCCAAGCTATCATTTTGCAGGATTACCAAGGTTGAGGGCAAAAATATTCATCAGGCTCATTGTCTTGCTAAGCTACAGTTGCAGGAGATACAATCTTTCTGAATATAACTCATCGAAGCTAAATTTCTTTTACCGTTGTAGCTTTATTTTTGTCTTGTAAACTACTTTAGTATAATCTATAAATTTCTTACTCTATCTTCGATAAATTAAATGCCCCATAATTCATTGCATTGCCCTTTATTTGAGTAACAAAACAATGATGGTGAGAGGTTAAGAAGGGCACTTGCTTTTTGGTTCAACTAGGAAAAGGTCACACTTTAAGGATTCCTTCCCACTATAAATGCCTTTTAGTCCCATCTCCACCCATAAAAGAAGGAACTCAAGAAGATTTGCAACGAACCGCAACTACTCTTAAGTCTTAATTAGTAGTAGTAAAGTAGTACTTTCAATAGCCCATCCAACAGGGGATTTAAAGAACGTGAAGAGTACTGGACCCTAGCTAGCTAGCTAGCTAATTACAAGTCACTTTTCTAGTGCACTAGTAATTTTATAGTGCTACTTTTGTAAGAAGTATATATATTTATTAGGGGATGAATTTCAATTGGGATTGAGCTATATAGCTAGTGATCAAGCTCGAGGAGGAAAATTGCCTCGTGTCATCACTACACTATGTTTAATAAATGGAGTAACTAATTAGTCCTGAAAAAAAAATGAATCTAGGGTGTGTTTTGTAACCTTTTCAATTTTTTGTTTTTAAGAAATTAGAAGTAGAAACAGGTTTATGTTTTCTTAAAAACAAAAACAAGAAACATGTTTGGTAATATTTGTGTTTCTCAAGAACAAAAAAAAACAAACTAGGGAAAACACCTTTTTGTAGTTTTCATAGTTTACAAAAACTCTAAAAAAGTTTATGAAAAACAAAAAAGTAGAAACTTCTTACCAAACAAGTTTTCTTCATTAGTTTTCAAAAAAATAAAAACAAAAACAAAAACAAAAATCAAAAACTGAAAACAAAAAGGTTACCAAACGCCCAAGGTTTTTAAATTGATTGATGATCCTCTCATGTGAACATTTCTCATGCGATTCCTTACGTAACGCATGTTGGAAATTTTACGGAATTTCAGATGAATGAAATCGGGGCTACCGGAGGGTCTCTCGAGGCAACCGAGCATGAACCGGGTTCGTTATATCTGGACGCACCACAATCAATAGACGTATTGATGTGTGGATTCTGTAACCCCTCCATGATTGTGAATTCATTCCCGTAACCTCCCTCTTCAATGGCTGAATTCATTGCAGAATTCATTGGCAGAATAATGGCAGCATTTCATCTTTTCTGCCTCCTTCCCCTATAAAAGGAGGCTCACGTTCTTGGAGAAATCACAAGCAAATTCGCAACCATCTATCATATTCTGATTTTCGTTCTTGAGAGAGAGAGGCAGGCGGTAGTCAGTTCGCCAAGGCGGTCATCGGTGGTGTTCCGACGGCTAGCGGTCCAACCGAGCCAACCCTGGGAGAAAGTCGCCGAAGCAACCTACAACACCCACGGTAGGGGCGAATCTTTCTTAAGGAGACTGTGGTTCAACACAGGACTCGGTTTCAATCCAAGATTCTGTTTGTATCTCGTTCTTCGTTTTTCTGTAAACTGGTTTGTATCTTGTAATTTGGTTTGTTCTTATAATTTTATCTTTGATAAAGAAACTGTTCTCTGGAATGTCTTGTGACTGCCGAAATTTTCCCAACAAGCTTAAGAAAGATTTTTTGATCTCTGATCGGCATCGGATTCCAGAAAACAATTTCTGTTTTGGACTAACGTTTGAGTTGCAAGAACAGATTCGAAACAGATTAGTTTTCATGATGGAGAATCATTGGTGTAAGACGAGTTATCAATCTGTTCAGTAGATTGTTTGGAGATTGATACGAGAATAATCAGACCCGTTCGGCTTCGGCCAAGATCAGTCATGCGTGACTCGATCATGTTGCAAACAGAGAGGCTACGGCCTAAGGCAGTCGTGCGCGGCTTGGCCTTGGATCAATTTTGTTGGCCTCTGGGGTGATCTACTTGGCTTTTGCCTTGACATCACCTGGCCTTGATCCAGTGTTTATGATCTGCCCGGTGTGCAGTTCATGTGCTTGACGCCTGGGTTGCTCTCGGCCTGAAGTACTCAACCAGTGGACGGTGTGAGTGCTCAGCCCTTGTGCACGGCAAGTGGGATACATCAGTACATGGATTGGACTCTAAAAACAGAAGGGGAAGGTCGATCCCCGCTGAGGGCCAGCCCTCAGACTCCCGCCCGGGGGCGCTGCCCCCAGGACCCCCGTCAGGGGGCACGG